CAGGTTTCCCCATGTCTCATTTCTTTATATTAATTCCTCAATTAATATGTCTCAATTTATTTATTTTAATTCCTTAATTAATTATGGCCCTGGCCAGCCTGTCCTCTGTGTGTATGAAGTGAGTGATAACACTAGATCTCAGGCCCCCAGGGGGAAGAACTAGGATGAAGGAATGGAGGTTAGAAGTGAGATTTCAGCTCCAAATAAGGACTTACTCTCTCTCAGTGAAACATTCCATTGCAGACAAAGTGGCACTTAGCAGGCCTGGACTATTTGCTGAATGAGTGGCTGCCTTGAGGCAGAGTGAGTTTCCCATCACTGGAGATATGCAAGTCAAAGCCGGAAGGCCTTAGGACTGTTTTAGAGGGGTTTGAACTACATGTCTTTTGAGTAGGAGAAGCACTGGACTGCTAACCCCAGGTTAGTGGTTCAAATCCACCAGTTGTTCCTCGGAAACCTTATACAGGGTTGCTATGGGTCAGAACAGACTCAACGGCACTTAACATCAACAACAACAATAGCAACAACACTGAGCAGCTTGGTGATCCAGACCCACCCACAGAAATGTAATCTGTACTGGGGTCCAGGGCCAATGGAGACTTCGCTATAAGTAACAGTGGATCCTGCTTTCAAGATTAATCACTGGAAGTACAGCCAGAAGGGATTCTAGACATCTAAACCTGTGATGTTAAAGTGTGAAATGGAGCCCACCTGCATCGGAATCACCCAGACTGCTGGTTAGACACTTAGGCTCAGGATCTGCTGTCTCTAGGAGCGGTGTCCTGGAATCTCAAGCATTTGTGCTCATGCATGCGCCTTATAGGAAGTTGAGGCTCACACAGTTATATGATTTGTTCAAGGTCATACAGCCAGTAGGCGGTGGAGCCAAGAGTGTGTCCAAATCATCACAAGCTTTAGCAACAAGTCAATGCTAGGTCTGGGGCTTCAGACTGCCCATGTTTCTTGGATCCTGGGGATGCACAGAGATGATCCCCATCACACAGCCAAAAGGGGCGTGTTCATACCAGGCAGCCTGGGGAAATATGGTGTGTGGATGGTGCTGACTTCCTCCCACCCTACTAAATGTTCTATGTGCTGAGGACTTGGTGTCCCTCTGACCCCTTCTCCTCCCCACTTTCTCCCCCAGGATGTGGATGCTGCTTACATGAACAAAGTGGAAATGGAAGCCAAGGTGGATAGCCTTAATGATGAGATCAACTTCCTAAAGACCATCTACGAGACGGTGAGGACCTCCAGGGTGTTAGACCCTCTGGCCTAGTCTGCATCTGGGCCAGTCTTTGTGTGTGGGTTTTTTAGGCAGTGTTTATCCTGCTTTTCCTGGGTACTGCAAATAAATAGTTAACATACTCAGTTGCTTGGTAGTGTAGTGGTTACGAATTGGGCTGCTAACCTCAAGGTCAAAATTTTGGAACTACCAGTTGTTCTGCAGGAGAAAGATGAGCCTTTCTGCTCCCGTAAAGATTTACAGCCTCAGAAACTCTGTACAGGGTTGCTATTGGGTCAAAACCAATTCGACAGCACTTAACAACAAAAACAACATGAGTCAGAACCAACTCTGTGGTGCATAACCACTATATATATATATAAATATATATATATATATACACACACACATATATATATGGAGCTCTGGTAGCATAGTGGTTACGAATCGAACTGTGAACCTTAAGGTCAGCAGTTTGAAACTACCAGCTGCTCCGCGGGAGAAAGATGAGGCTTTCTGCTCCCGTAAAGATTTACAGGCTCGGAAACCCTGTACAGGGTTGCTGTGAGTTGGAAACGACCCCACAGCACATAACAACAACAACAACAACAACAACAACTCAGTTGCTAACTGAAAGGTTGGAGCTCCAAGTCCACCCAGAGTCCCCTTGGACGAAAGTCCTGTTGATCCTACTTCTTTGTTTATCTATCACTTATTATAGGCAGTGTTGTTGTGGTGAAGTGCCACTGAGTTGATTCCAACTCTTAGTGACCCTCGATAGGGTTTCCCAGGGCAGTTGGTGGGTTTGAACTGCCAACGTTGTGGTTCGCAGTTCAGTACTGATCCTACAGTGCCATACCAGGAATCCATTAGAGATAGACATGATATATATATATGATATGATAAATATATGTATGAGGGGGCTTCAAAAGGTTCATGGAAAGTGAAATCTAAAGATAATGGAATTTTTCAATGAAATTTTTGAAGTTCCCTTCTAGATGCAAGTTATATATATAATTAAAGAGACTCTGGTGGCACTGTGGGCTACATATTGGGTTGCTAACTTCAAGGTTGACAGTTCATACTCACCAGCTGCCCCACAGGAGAAAGATGAGGCTGTCTATTCCTGTGAATATTTACAAATTTGGAAACCCTACATAGGGTCTCTATGAGTCAGAATCAACTCGATGGCAGTAGGCTTGGTTGATTAGCACAGTTACTTTCTTCTTATTATGAAAACAATAATGTAATTATTGCAAAAAGTCCAGATTATTAAGTAAAGCATAAAACTGAAAACATCACCAAGACCCAATTTTAATATTTTGGAGTCTACCTTTCCAGACAGCGTAGTGGTTACAAATCAGGTTGCTAATCTCACGGTCAGCAGTTCAAAACTACCAGCTGTTCTGTGGGAAAAAGATGAGGCTTTCTGTTCCCGTAAAGATTTACAACCTTGGAAACCCTGTACAGGGTCCTCGCTATGAGTCGGAACCGACTCGACAGCACTTAACAACACCAACAACCTTTCCAGACACTTCCTGTGCAAATGTACATATATAGGGAATCCTGGTGTGGTGCTGTAGGATAATGCACTGGACTGCAAGGTTGGTTTGAACCACAAGGTTAGTGGTCCAAACTTACCAGTTGCTCCTCGGAAACCCTTACATAGGGTTGTTATGAGTTGGAACTGATTTGATGGCACTTAACAGTAACAACCACATACACATATAGATATAAATATATACACACATATGTACATATGTGTATATATATTTATATGTCTATTCTAAGTTTTACTTATTTTGTTGTTGTTGAGAAAAATAATTGTATATTTAATAATAATAGAATCATATTTCCTTTGTGTGGCCATACTTCTCTGATAGTAAAGACAGCTGTATAGTCATTCTCAGAGGCTATAGAGTGACCCATTATAGGATGGGATATAACTGATTTCACCATCCCAACAATTGAGGGCACAGCCCACAGCATCCATAGCTGGTAGCCGTTGCTGCTAACCATGCTCTGTCACTTTCTTTATACCCTTGAAACCTACCTGATTCCTATCCACTCCTGTGTTTCTTCTCTTTTTCTTCTTTTTACCTTGAGTATGGGGAATCCCAGAGCTGGGGTGGGAGCCAGAGTGGATCATACTCCAGGTGCCAACATTTGTTTGGTCTCTATAGGAATTGGCAGAGCTGCAGGCCCAGATCTCAGACACATCTGTGGTGCTATCCATGGACAACAACCGCTCCCTGGACCTAGACGGCATTATAGCTGAAGTCAAGGCCCAGTACCAGGACATGGCCAACCGCAGCCGGGCTGAGGCTGAGGCTCAGTACCAGATGAAGGTGTGTGACCACTGGGTGTACCTTTCTCCTCCTGGCAGGGCCTTTTGGTGTCAGCATCCTCAATTTACCCTTGCCTTGTCTTAAGCCCTTTAGGGCCTGGGGCAGGCACCAATGGCTAAGACCATGGCGCTTTCAGGTGTCCTGAGAAGAAAAGGACGAGAGGCTAGGCCCCTGCTCTGATGGGAGGACAGGGCAAAGGAAATAACCATGGATGAATAATTATTATAGCCAACATTAGTCAATACTTACAGAGTACTAGGCCCTATTTTCAATGTTTCACCTGCAGTAGCTCATTTAATTCACAGAATAGCCCTGTTAGGTAGGTACTCCCATTTTACAGATGAAGAAACTGAGGCATAGAGAAACAAAGTAATTTGACTAACTCTGTACTACACAGCTAGTAGATGGAAAGTACAAACTAGTTGCTAGGTCCCTGGGCCACACAACTGGGAGGTTTTATTCCTTACACAGGCAGTGTGGAGGTGGACCCACTGAGGGGATGTGCAGGGAGCGCAGGAATGTTCCTGGTGGAGGGCAGCCTGAGGCAGGGTTACAAGTAGTGTAGAGTGCAGGGAGTCATGCCAACAAGGAGACCTGGGCTCAGGCCCTAGTTCTGACACTGATTTGCTGTTGTGTCCCTCTCTGGGCCCCACTCTCCTCATCTGTGAAATGGGTAGTACTGGGAAGGACATTGTTTAACAGGTGAGGATCTCAGACTTTCAGTGATTCTCCAGCCCTAGAGCATGATGGGAGTGGTAAGAGACCCAGGATCAGTGGGGATGGACCCTGGGATGCCTTCTCTGTACCTTCTGCCACCCCGCCTTCCCTCCTTCCCCCATCCCCATCCCAGTCTGACTTCCTGGAATTGGGTGAAGGTTGTTGAGGAGTATGAAGTCTCGCCCTGGAAATGTAAGCCTGGAGGGCTTGTCACTCAGAGGAATGAGTCTGTAACCATTGCTTCCCTTGCCATGGACTCTCCAGTTTGAGACCCTCCAGGCCCAGGCTGGGAAGCATGGGGATGATCTCCGGAACACCCGGAACGAGATTTCGGAGATGAACCGAGCCATCCAGAGACTGCAGGCTGAGACTGACAACATCAAGAACCAGGTGGGGTCATGCCTTCCTTTTGTTCTTCCCTGTTCCTTGGGACATGTGCAGGGCAGCCAGCCAAGGCCAAGCTCAAGACTGAGGGGCAGGAGGTTAGGGCTAAGGAGGGCAGGTTTGCCCCTCCCTGGGCCCTGGTTGGTGCAGCTTGAATGTCTCAGGCCCACTTGTGAAATCTTGACAAAGGGAGAGGACCATGCCTTGTGGCATGAGCAGAATGTTCCCAGCCTTTGTCCCATCTTGGGAAGAGGGGCATCCTGACTGAGCAGAGAGGCTGTAGGAGAGCCTCCGTGACTGGCCAGAAAAGTTACCAAGTTGGTGTTGTGCACTTTTCTGGCATGTAGCTCTGGGTATAAGACGCCATACTTGGGAGCTCATAGCGTGGGGGTAGAAGGGTAGAAGAAGTCCACCTCCGGGCTAGACTTCCCGCATTCCTTTCACTTCCTGTAGCTTGTATTTGCCAAACATGTTCTGCTCCAGGGCCTTTGCACTCGGTGCTCCTTTCATTCCACCTGGAATGTGGTTCTCCCAGCTCTTGACACGACTGCCCCTTCCTCTTCTCTGGACATGACTGGGGTGTAGGACAAAAAACCTCTTCTCAGGACTTCCTCAACCACCCAACCACTATCACCTGTCACTGTGTGAACATATCTGGCTTATGAATGAAGTTGTTGCTGCCCTGAGTGCAGAGACCCTGTCTGTCTAGCTTACTGCTCAGTGCCAGACTGAGGGCTGGGACACAGGTCCTGGATGAGAGACTAGCTGGAAGGACGTGCTTTGCTGGGGTGGGGGTGTTGATAAGGAAAAGTCCTCCACGTCCTGGCTGAACCCTGAGTGTGGTCCTGGCAGCTACACTTGAGCATGTTGGCACGTGCAGCAACTTCACAGAGCTGGGGGGCATGGATGTGGGTGATTTTTAGAACTGTCCTCCCCTGAGGGCCCTGAAGGCTTGTTTAGAGGAGGGCAGAGGCTGCCTCCTGGCACAGATGTAGGGCCATGACTCACCTGTGAAGCAGGCCAGCCTCCAGTCCGGGAAGGGAAAACTGAATAGTGAATGACAGCCTCCTAAACCCTGTGTGTCCGCAGCATTCGGTTTTCCTTCAACACAACGGGGCCGAGGTGGGACCTAGAATCAGGGTGTCTACCCCTGACCAACCAGGCACTGGGTCCTCAGCTGGGGCTGGCAGGGACATTTGGAAGCAGTGGGGATGGCTCTGTCCCAGGGGCTTTGGGAAGCAGAAGAGGTATCAAAGGACTCTGGGGTGGGATTGGGATGGAAGGGCAGAGAGGCAGAGCACATCCTGTGAGGGGAGGGTCTGAGAAAGAAGGAAGAGAGGCACTGGGTTAGAGGATGAGATTGGCAGCCTTTGGAGGCAAACAAGATGAGATCTCTGAACTAGACAGCTCCGGGCAGTAGGGGATGAACACAAAACAGAGGGAACACTGAGACTCAAGGCAGGTGCATGTCCATACGAGATCAGATTACCCCTGCCCAAGCTGGGGAGGCCCAGAGCTCCAGGCAGGTTCTCTTGGCTCCAAGCCCCACAGTTCTGACCCAGCTCCAAACTGATCTCTGCTTTGAAGATGGTTTTTATCTCTTGTCAGCTACCTGCATTGGAGACACAATTAAGACCCCGTGGCTTTGGTGTTCCTCTTGCAAAGGGCTGGGGGGTGGGGGTTGGCATTTGTAAATCACAATAAATATAATTTATGAAACATTTACTGTACACCAGCCACTGTGCTAAATATTCATGAACATATTAGCTCATTGAATCCTGCAGTATCCCTATGAGATTCAGCCTTTCGTTGTTAATAATTTGGAGAAGATTTTGCCTGAGAAGGGTTAAATGACACATCTGAGGTCACATCGATAGGAAGTGATTGAGCCAGAATTGGAATCCACTGAGCATCAAAATCCATGTTTTTAACCCTTGAGATTCCCTGATGTTTGGGATATAGGTTGGTGCCAGTGAAGTCATCTTAAGCAGGCTGCCTAGGTTCTTTCAGCAGGATGGGAAGCAAGAAAGCACTGGCTGGAGAGCCCTGCACCCTAGCTCACAGCTTCACAACTACCCACAGTGTGCTAAGTTGGAGGCCACCATCGCCGATGCTGAGGTGCATGGGGAACAGGTACTTAAAGATGCACGCAGCAAGCAGGAAGAGCTGGAAGCTGCCCTGCTACGAGCCAAGCAGGACATGGCACAGCAGCTGCGTGAGTACCAGGAGCTGATGAGTGTGAAGCTGGCCCTGGACATCGAGATCGCCACCTACCGCAAGCTGCTGGAGGGCGAGGAGAGCCGGTGAGGACAGGGAAGTCAGAATGGGACTCCTTCTGGGGCTCATTGGATCTGGGACATTTCCTGGATATTCCTCCTTCTGAAGGGCACTGGGAGTGAGAGGTACAGTAGGGTAGAGCTGATACTTGCTTCTTTGCCCTCAATGAAATGATCTTCTAGAAGTCCACGTGGTGTAAAACTTAGTGGAGAAGTTGAAGTAGTCACAGTCCCTTCTTGTGTATGGCCACTAGCAGGGCCATCATAATTGATCTTCAGAACACATCACTGATTCTCCAGGTGACAGAGAGGAGAACTGTGTGGTTCAGGTTATTAGTTAAGAATGCAGCCAAGGTCTGGTGATTTCTGGTCCCAACATCATCAGCTACACCAGGCTGTCTCTTACTCTAAGTGCTAAATCCTGTTACCGACTGAAGATGGTTGTTGTTGTTAAGTGCCGTCAAGTCAGTTCCAACCCATATCGACCCTGTATAGTGTTTCCGACCCTATAGAGTGACTGGTGAGCTTAAACTGCTGACCTTCAAACCAACTTTGCAGTCCAGTACATTAACCCACAGCGCCACACTAGGACTCCAAATCATGTTAGTGACTGAAGATGGTGGATGAGGTTAATTTCCTCCTCATTGTGAAATGTTTGCATATTCATCCAAAGTCAGAGAGGTGGTGGGGTAGGTTAGTCTCATAGGAAACTCTTTACTAAAGACATAGCACACACTTGGGGTCTTCATTTTCCCATCGATGATTCATTCAGTCAACAGACTATACTTTTGAGTTGCTCTTTAAAGGAAGGTTGGAGTTGGGGAAAATTTAGGATTTGGAGAGGGTGTGGGCAGAGGCTTGGAAGCAGAACTGTTAAGGTTTGTTTTGCTGGAACCCCACTTGGAGATAGATAACATGCCCTCAGGAAGCTTGAGGAACAGTTGAGGAGACAACACCTCCACATAGAAAGCACATCGAGATCAGTAACTTGGTATTTTACAAAGAACATTTTATTTTCTGAGTATCATTCCTGAGGAGTGGAGGAGAGAAGATGGAGGATGAGTTGCTGAGGGGAAGGAATTGGGGAACAAGGGAGCCCGGAGACTGGGTGCCTTTATGCTGGGAGGAAGGAATGAAGAAACCAAGCATCAGCAGCACTTAAAGTCCATGGCAGCAGGATGAGGGTGGAGGGATGAGAAGATCTCTGTCACGAGAGCTGAGCTAGGGCTCAGGACAGCTTGAGAGCCCACCCCTCCCTTGGGTACAGGGTGACTTCTCTGGATCTTTTTTCCTCATAGTTGTCAGAGTTAGAGAACTCTTACAATAGGGCCTAGTCCATCTTCTTCCTAAAGAGCAGCTGAGGGGACTGAAGCTCAGAGGGCAAATTACTTGGCAGCAAGCTGAGACATTCCTTTCCAAAGGCCTCAATTCTGTCTAGGTTGCTGGCCATCATTGGGCTTTTTTTTTTTTTTTTTTCATTTCCTGAGAGGAGACCCTCCCCTTTGCTCCTTTCGGGACATGGAACTGGATAACCTGCTCCCTTACCCAGAGGCAGATTGGAGGTTTGTGGAACTGAAGTTCCTACAATTTGAATAGCCTTCTTTAAGAATACACAGCTAACAAATATCAAATTAGGCACACAAATATTTAAAATTAGAAAAGAAGAGCAGATACAAATCACTCGAGCCTTGGACAATCAGGCTCCTACATTCTGAGATCTCTGTAAGCATTGCCCCAGGAACTCTTACAGATTTTTTGATAGCCACCTAGCTCCCTATCCCCATCTTAAACTACCAGCACTTCATGGGGCAATTTGGACAAAGGGTCTGGAAGCTTCCAGCTTATCCATACTTTCCCTTTGTCTTTGCTCAGTCTCTTTCCTGGGTTCTGGCCTGTTAAGATCATTCCCTTCATCCAAGTGAGCCCCCCACCCTGTAAAACACACTGGTCCCCAAGGCCAAAGGCTTGGTGATAGTGGGGCATGAGTCACAAAACAAACACACCCAGCTGTCTCAAATGGGCTTTTAATTTCCCCTGCAAGACCTGTTTCATTGCCACAGGCACCTGACTGGAGCTGCTTTCAGTCAGTCAACAGTTCACTTATTATTTCAACACATCTGAAATAATTACTATGTGCCCAGTTTCCTGCGAGCAGCTAGGGGAGATATGAGGAATCAATAAGCTACTGTCAACTTTGAAATTTTTATGATCTGGTTAGGGAAGGCAACCTTCTACATACATAATATTAATGACAATTACCATTTACCAAATCCTGTTTGCCGAGAGCTTTAGGCAAGTTATGTTTTTTAACCCTCACAGACAACCCTCTGAGGTTAGTACTGTATGTTGTTGTTGTTGTTAAGTGCTGTTGAGTCGATTCTGACCCATAGCGACCCTGTATAGGATTTCCAAGGAGCAGCTGGTGAGCTTGAACCACCGACCTTGCAGTTCAAACGACTTTGCAGTCTGATGCATTAGCCCACAGCGCTATTCCAGGACTGTATGTAGTTAAGCTCAATTTATAGGTGAGGCAGTGGAGGTTCTGAGATGTTGCCCATGGTCAAATAGCTGGTAGATAAAAGGACTGAAGTGCACCCTCCCTTCCTTCACCTCCTCCAGGCTTGTTTTGCAACAAGGTCAAGGGAGGGCGGGAAGTAGGGTACAGAGAGGAAAGAGTGCAGGTCCTACTTGGGGCATGGAAGGAGGGGACCAGGAGTGCTTCCTTCCTGAGAAGTGAGCTGCTCTCATGGGTTTCCCTTCTGCCCCCAGGTTGGCCAATGATGGAGTGGGAGCCGTGAACATCTGTAAGTCCTTGGTTGTGGTCCCTGGAAGCATGCATACCCGTGCTGTCTGTTGGAATCAGGCAGGCAGATTGGCTCAACAGACTTGCCTCGTAGGCAGTCCGTCCTAAACATCATCCCTGTCACCAGCTTTTGGCTGGCCCCCTGGAATTCATATCTAGTCTGGCTTAATCACCCAGGGAACCAGACGCAAGAGGGTGGGGTGGAGTGGGCCAGACCTGTGGAGCAGCCCCTACCGCTGCCAGAGGCTCCTTTTGGGTTGGCTGATGGAGGGAGGTGGGTGACAGGATGGTGAAGGTAGATGAGGGATGGGGTCCTTGATGGTGGACCTCACTGACAGCCCTCCTTCCTTTACTCCCAGCGGTGATGAATTCTACTGGAGGCGGTGGCCATGGGCTGACCTTTGGGGGAACCATGGGCAGCAATGCCCTGAGCTTCTCGAGCAGTGGGAGGCCGAGCACCCTGAACACCTTTTCCCTCAGGAGCACCCACAGGAGCATCCACAATTAATCACAAAGTATGGAGAGATCCGTGTTCCCATTCCTCCGTTGTCACAGTAGGCCTCCCCTCCTTGGTTCCAAGACTGACTATAAAAGTGATGTCAGAATCACTTGTAATAAAGCTGCCTCTTTCTGAGACCTGGATAGAAAGATGCTGTGTCTGGTGCCTGGTATGCTGGTCCATCGGGGAGGACAGGGGTACTAGACAGGGGAGGACTCTGCCTTGCTTAGGAGGCTAGGAGAGCACATTGGTGACATGGAAGCAGGGAGTGTGGCACTAAGAGACTGGGCTCTTACTCAGTGTGAGCCTTGATCTCCTTCCAGGACTGGGACCCATTCCAACACAGCTCTGGAGAAAGTCTAGAAATGCCACAGGGAAATACTGGCTCTAGCAGGAAGTGGGTTTCAGAGTCCTCTCTTGCTAAGGGGGTGGGGGGTGCTGTTTGGACTCAAGCCCTGCTTTGTGTCCTGTGCTGGCAAAGTACATTCTTTAGGTGGTGAGAAGACCACAAATATTCAGCTGCCCCAGGTCTGGGTTTCGGGTGGACAAGCCAATTCTGAGTCCAGCCTTCCCTATCCTTTCCTGGGGCTAGGTTGGCTAAAGCTCAGGGACAGGCCAGGTCTGGGGTCCCTGGATGGTGTGAGGTTGGCTCTCTAGAGGGAACTGTCTGGGATTCTGTAGGGACCTCCGCAGGGGAAGAGGTCTGGTGTGTATGGGAGCCGAAAGGATGTTCCAGAGTCTAGATTCCTGGTAGGGGACTGTGCACCTGGATTCTTGGGCTGAGAATCAGTTATTTCTGCCTAGAATAAGGTGCTGGGCTAATAGTATATCTCGGCTCTTTGGGGTTAGACTGCGTGTATCTGGGTCCCTGGGAGGGTGTCACCTGTGGGTTAAGTCTGTGTGTGATGGGGACATCCATGAGTCAGGGTCCCTAATGTGGGGCCCATGAGAGGGGGCGGGTTTGTGTCAGGGACTGTACTTGGGGATCTCCATCTCTGATGGGGACTAGTGGAGGGAAGGAGGTCTCTGGGTCTGGGATCCTCAGGGGATGGTGGTGATGTGTGTGGGTTGTTTTGTGGAGCTTGAGAGCACTGTTGAGGAACTTTGACATGGGGTTGGTATAGGGGATTTGAGAGCACTGTTGAGGAACTTTCATACGTTGAGTTTGGGGGTCAGGTGGAGGAAGTGGTCAGTGATATCCCAGCAGTGGTAAATGATGAGGTTCCCACCAGGTGTCAGGAGGTCAGTACCTTTCCCCTCCTGGTTGCAGGTGTGTCACCTTTGCCTTTCTCAGATGACTTCCAGTTCGTGTTCTGGCTCAGTGTATCTGGGTTTGGGGATGCTGCCTGCCAGAGTCCTAACAGCAGCCCCCACCCCCTATGCTTCAGGATGCCCATGTGCAGAAAAGGGGCAGGGCACTATGGAGACACCCTTCCTCCTCTGCTGAGAACAGAAAGTGGCTGGAATGGAGCATGTGTAGGACAAATTGGAGATTCCCAGAGCACATTACATGACCCATGAGATTTATTGAGAGCGAGGAAACTTAGCAGAAACCAGGAGGGTGAGGGAGGAGGATGTTCAAACCTCAGAGACTCTGGGGTCAATTTGTCCCTCTGATCTCCCAGAAGCAGCCCATGTCTGGATTGACCTTTAACCCAGAACTGCGAGTATAGGTACTTGGGGATGGAGGGAGAGCTGCCAGGTATGCGGGTGAGGAGCCCAGTCTCCCCTGGAAGAAATGAGAGGAAGCTGTGGGTAGACAGATGCAAGAAAATGCACTCAGCGTTTGGGAAGATCAGGCCTGCTGCTTCCCGAAGCCATTCGGGGACCCATGGCTGGAGGCAGGGACATCGTTCACTCGCGGAGGCCGTGTATTTACAAAGCCAGGAGTGTTATGCAAACCGCACGGAGCCACAGCTCTGTCCGCAAGGCGCGCACATCCCGGTGCTCACGGCCAGGTTCCCGCTGCAGGGGGCGTTGCAGACGCTGCCGATCACCGGCCGGGATCCCGACACAGTGAGGTCCCCGCAGACAACTCCGCCTCGGGAGCTGCTGACACCTGAGGGAGGAGGATATGGTTAGTTCCAGCGCGAAGTCATCCTGGCAGCCCTACCAATTATCCAAAGCCCGGCCCCTTGACCAAGCTCCTCCTCTCCAGTGGTTTCCCATGAACACCTCATGCCTGTGCCCTCCTTCCCGCAGTCTAACCCTTAACGGCCCTGATAAAGTGCTAGCCCAGCCCCTTTATTTCTAGGCAGAAATAACTGGTTAAGTCATTGTCCATATCCTTTTCACTGTCATCGAGTGGTTTCTGACTCACGGTGACCCTGTGAAGGATTTCGGAGGCTGGTGGACCTTTCAGTTAGCCGTCCAGTGCTTACAGCTACAGGCCAGCCTCTTGTTTTTGTAAATAAAGTTTTATTGGAACATAGCCACCCACATTCACTTAAGTATTGTTCTGGGCGGCTGTTTTCACTCAAGGAAAAGGCAGAGGTGAGGAGTTGAGACAGAGGCACATAGCCTGTAAACCGAATATTTACTATCCAGTTTTTGAGAAAATAGTTTGCCCCTCCCAGCCCCATCCCTCATCTCAGAAAACAGCAGTATAGATACTTACAGACATTGACAGCGGCGATGCCCTCACACAACCTTGTAGGGAGAGCAAAGAGTAATTAGTGAGGTGGGCCAAGTGGATGGAGTCCGGGGTTAATTTGCAAATTCTTTCCCCCTCCCGGAAAATTTTGATAAAAATGAAATGCAAATAATGTGCAAATGTGTTCCTGGGTCGTCAAACTCGGAATCACTGGGAGAGACTGCAAAGACACCCTGCCCATAGTATAGGGTTGGGCCCCACCTGTGTTCCTCGCCCTCCAGCAGGCGCCGGTAGGTGGCGATCTCGATGTCCAGGCCCAGTTTGGAGTTCATCACCTCCTGGTACTCCTTGAGCAGGCAGGCCATGTCCTGCTTGGCCTTCTGCAGGGCCTCTTCCAGCCCGGCCAGCTTGCAGCGGGCATCACTGAGGGCTGCCTCACCCTGCTGTTCAGACTGGGTCACTGCAGCCTCCAGCTTGGAATTCTGGGAGACAGGGAAGATTATTAAGGCTCCCTGTTCTAGCATCCACTGACCATTGACTGTCCTTACCCATTTGTTAAATCAGGGGCTGTAAATTAGTGTCCCCAGGGAATGTTGGTCCAGTGTCTTCAGTTTGGGGAGGTTAAAGATAAAAACCCAGATTCTCTTGAAAAATCAGGATCTGGCCACACTGGACCTATATTTCTGCAGGGCTTGGCCCACTTGGACCTGATTAGCCCTGTCCTTTAGATAGCTGTATGCTTTCCAGTTTGCCACTGTCACCCCACACACCAGTGCCTTAGGTACAGCCTGCTTCACTCATTTATTTACCTCTGGTGACATCTGACCACAAGCCAGAGAATAAAATGTCTTATCCTTAATCATACGGGAGTGGGTGACAGGACCCAGGCTTTCTGCTCTTCAGAGATGCTCCTTCTTCTGTCCCATTCTGCCAGTGGGACCAGGAAAATCTTTACCTCTCCACCCCTCCCATGTTTCTCCCTTCCACTCAGAGAGAATGGAGTCGGTTTTCCATGGAGGAGACTTGCCTAATGTTGGCTCCTTTTTTGTGCTCATAGGCAAGCAGAATCCTAAATCTAAAACACTTCTGCTACAGCTAGCCTTCTCCTCTCCCTGCACTGAGGGGCAGACTGGGTGGTACCTGACACTTGGCGTTCTCCACCTCCGCCGTTAGCCTCTGGACCATGCGGTTCAGTTCGTTGATCTCTTCTTTGGTGCGGCGCAGGGTCTCTCCGTGACGGATCACTGTGGCCTTCATCTCCTCGCACTGTGGAAAAACAGAGCTCGTAAGGTGCAGAATGGGATTCAGGACAGCATAGGTGATTGTGTAGGTTGTTCAGTGTTTGGCCCTTTCCATGCCAACCCAACCTGAAAGTTGTCTGCGTTTCTCTTACTATCACTAGAGAAGGATCCTCTACAGTTATCTTAGACATCAGAATCCCCACACAAAAGAAGACTTTTCTACTACTATATGCCTTGCATCCTTCCACTGCCATGTCTGGGAAACAAGTATCCCTGAGTCACTCACCTTGCTGCGGTACCAGGACTCAGCCTCAGCCCGGCTGCGGCTGGCGATGTCGTCATACTGAGCCTTGATCTCGGCGATGACGCAATCCATGTTCAGATCTCTGCTGTTGTCCATCTTCACCACAACCGAGGTGTCTGAGATGTGGGAGTGGAGAACGCGGATCTCCTGTGGGGGTGGGGTGATGGTGAGAGCCCACCTTCTTACAGAGCCCTCCCCTGACCCCTTCCCCTGCTTCCTCAGAAAACCCCACCTCCACATTCCAGTCCTGCACCTCAACCCTGGAATCTCTCAATATTCCTCAGACCTGCAGTCTGAGAAAAGGAGGTAGACAGAGCCATGTCTGAGGTCCACAGCCTGATTTCAGATAAGGTCTCCTGCCTTA